TGTACTTGTGCGGAAAGGTACTCAACATGGAAAAACTATGAGCTAGTCACCGTTTAAGTGGCATTATTACGTATTTTGTTCCAGCGCTTGTGATCACTTTAGAAAGCAACGGCGTGATAGTATTATTTCACTGACAGTTCACGGATTCATATTCCCATCACATTAATTTTGCAAGTTCGTAGCACCAATGCATAACTTTTACCCTCAGATAACTTTATTAAGTTCATTTAATCTCACTGCTTACTATTCCTTTCAGGTCATTGGAGCAGCCGCTTCAGCAGGCGTTTTCAATAGCCTTGGTGTTCTGTCAAACGGATGAGCTCCATTGGCTTGATTCTAGTGCACTATGAGGCCAGATCTTCTAAATAACTGAGCCATCTGGTCAGCGGTTTCTTGCTCAGCTGTCTTCCTGAAACGCTTTAATAACGCATTCAGCTTTACTAATCTATCACCCGGAAGTACTTATATATTATTAATGCACCCGAAAACCATGTTCACTCCAGCATTAATGATCGATATGTGCCGCTTTCAAAATGCACTCTGCGTTGCGCACTGTTTCCTTGCTTGCAGAACCATAAAGGACGTTAGATGAGGATAGTTGTTGATGCCAGCCCTTATAAAGAACTGCTTTCTAAGCTGTTTTGCGGTAAGAAGCCTAGCGTGTAAGTAAATTAATGAGTGAGTTAGCAAGTAATTAAGTTGTTGTGTGTATTGAGCAAGTAAGGAAGCGGGTAAGTGATTGAGTGAAAAAGGAAATAAATAAATGTTTAAATGCATGTTTCGTAAGTAAGCGGTTATGTAGATAAGAGGAAGTAAATGATTAACTCCGTAAATGTATACATACTAAGCGACTGAGGACTTAAGTGTCCCAATAAATGACTAGTTATGCTCCAGATAGATGTTAGAGTAGCTATGTAGGTAAGTACATGAGTACCCGAATAGGCAACTGCATGTACGTATCTATACGTACGTAAAAGACTAAGTTGCTGAGTAAAAATGTGCCTAAGAGTATATGCGCGTAAATAAATAAGAAAAATAAGTGAGTGAAAAAATATGTAACTACGAAGTAAAGATGCCTAGGAATAAGGAAGAAAACTAGCAGTTATCAAGTGCGTATGTATACATGTAATTG